CTACTGTGACCACCTTCACCCTTCTCCCCAGCTGAAAGAAGGCCAGTTTGGCTGGATGAGGGAACTGAACAGAACATTGCCATCCATATTTCATGGTCCTGCTTTTACTATGCACTTACTAATCAAACTAAACTATATTTAAATGATGGACTTCAGTAAAAGTAGATGAATAAGGCAACATAGCCAGAAGACAAAGGAAAGGATGTGATCAATAGGAGTGGCCTGACAGTGACACATACTCCCAGAAATGGCCCCAGGGACTTAGCAGTAGGGGAGAAGTTTGGGTCATTGACAGTCATAAGCTCCCAGAGTTCTTTCTGTTTACAGGACCCAGACTGTTACAATTGTTACACAGGTGTACATCTATCCTGAGAGAGATGATTATTAATAACCAATGATTTGGGAAGATCCAGAGATGTCTCCTTTTTTGCTAAAGTCTTGATCTTAAAAGTTCAGTCTCTTGAAGGACATTATTGATAATGAGATTGGACTGGCTTTCTTGTTCAGACCCCACCCAGGTGGGGTCCCCTCAGGTTTGGGTAGAGATAAATTTTTTAAACAGAGTGCCCAAGACTGGAGCAATTTAAGAAGTAAATGACATAATCAAAGTCCAATTCCAACTGGACTCCACTGTAATATTGATTCTCTCATTAATTGTTAACCAATCAGAGTTGATTATCACTCTTGGGAACACCCCTCTTCCAATGGGCATATAAGCTGTGAGCTTTGGTCTTTGGTCTAGAAGAGACAGCCAAATGACCATCCTTTTATTAAAATGCTGGCTTTATTAATAAAATGATTAAATTACCCAGAAATTAAGTCTCTCTAATTTTTTAAATGTCACAATCCCCAATGTTAACCAATACAATAGTAAACTATTTGGCAGCAGGGTCCTAACAATCTTTGTTTACAGTATAGCCTCTTACACAAAAAAGTCGACTATTATTAGTGTGCTTAATAAACATTTATTATATCAAATAGTTAAAGAATGATGGATCATTGACAAGACAGAGAGGAAGAAAGATGAGAATGTTGGCAAATGTCCAGAATAAGCAGCTGGGATGAGCTGATCCTTTAGACCTGTCCTTGGTTTCTTTAAGCATGATTCTATTCCAACATACCTCTGATTTGTTTTCTGACTCAGTCTCAGTTCTCAAAAGCAAGCTACAATGAGAAGCATGTTTAAGGTATGTTTTAATTTTAATACTGCCTAGAAGTAATATTGACACTATAAATGAAAAAGTATTGGTTGCTATGGACTAGTCAATAGAACTCACTGGTCTAGCCCACAAATCAGATATAGTTTTCTCTCTCCAAATGACACAATAGGACCAGTTAACCAGTACTAAACTGAGCAAGGAGGTATTCTTTAAAAAGTACATTGAGATTATCCCCAAATGGAGACGCTTCTCAGCAAAGGCTATGTCTACTTGCAGAAAAAAAACCCACAAACAAAACCTGAAGAACTGAACAATTACCAAGTGAATTTTACCAGTACAAACCCAACTTACCTTAAAAACTTAACAACCCTTCACCACCCTCCTCACTTACTTTCCCTCTCCTTTTCCTTCAGCAAAACCCAAGGTCCTAAAGGAGGGGAGGTATTTCCAGTTTTGTCTTTTGCATTTTTTTGTCTCCAGCACTCAGCATATGAGAAAGCATTTATTAAATGCTTGTTAAAAATGAATCATATATATTTTCCTACACTATCAGGTTATTTGCCTCACCTCTACATTTCAATTAATAAGCCCTTTCCTTAGTAAAGTTCCACCCAAAACAACCTAGTTTTAAAATGCAGCTGTCTAAAACAATTTTAGACCATAGGTAAAAACAGAATTAAAAAAACATAATAGCTACTTGATACTTCTTTTGCTGCTGCTGCTACTAATAATGATAGTAATGGTAATAATAATAGTAATACTAATAATATACCACTTCAAAAGAGAGAATACAGAGAAAAGTGCCTACCAACCTTCTGACGGAATCCTATTAGGTACCATATTATTACAACTATGTTGCTCTAACATGCATGTACTATATAGAAAACATGCCACAGAATCCAGTCTAAGCATTTTGACAACTGCAATAGACAGCCTAGACAAGTCAGAAAAGAATATTTAAAAATATGATATTTCAGTATTATTTCTGCCTCTACAATTATTGATTTGAGTCAATCTGCAATTTTACTTCAGTGCTTTTTCTGCCAATTGTTAATAATACAATAGACTTGTGATAAATGTGATAACAATGTAATTCATGTTATATTTTTATAAATATTGTAAGAAACAGATTATTGACAGAATATACTTTAAATCTGATCATTTATCTTTTCTACAAAACTGTTTATTTCCAGCAATGTATTTAGTTTAATGGAAAATAAATGGTTACAAAAGCAGCCTTTAGAGGCTCCATCTTTGACTGTATCTTTGACTCCTGCTTGAAACAGTAATCTCTTACCAGCTTTTCTATTGCTGCCACCACCCCGTCAACAACCCCCCTGACCCTGACCCCCAAAATGGCACTGTCATCATTGGAAAGAGATTTAATGCTTTGAAGTAAGTTTTAAAAAAGGTTTCTTATTCCCTCTCCATATATTTTGTTTCACCTTTGGCCACTGATTTATTAATTAATAGAATGGGTAAATTATAGACAAATCCCACCAACTTTATTAAATATTTAAAAATATCAAAGCTACACGTGGGTCTAGGGGCAGCCCCAATAATTAAAAATCTCTTTGTATAGAAGAATCCACTTACTCACAATGAGTCTACTGATTCTGGAGAAGAAATAGCTAAGCTAGAAACAAAGAGAGGTCATAAGATATAGAGCAGAAAAGAACCTCAAACATCATTTCATCTAATCCCCTCATTTTATAGATGGAGACTATGAGCTCCAGACACTTTAAGTGACTTTACTAAACTCACATTTCTAATAAGTCACAAAACCCAGGTCTTCTAATGCCAAACCACTGCTCTCTTTACAATACCACATGGATCTGTAATCTAATATAAATACTTCATTTCTAGCTTGATGGAAAACCCAAATTCTTTGACTTCCTCTTTTTCCCCAATGATATTTAAGGAATACAACAAATATAATGAACAAGTATTAAAAAGTAGCCCCCTAATACCCTGTCTATCAATCACTGTACTTTGATAAAAAATGATATACACAGCTGGATATGAATTTTGCTTGAGGCCTTCTTGGTTTCCAGCAATAATATCATTTGGTTCCAAGTGAACTCCAATGAATGGGCAGGTGAGGAATTAATCTGTGACTATGTATATATGTGTGAGTGGATGTATACACATGTACAGGAGGCAGCCGAGATGTAGTGAAAAAAAACACTGGACCTGTAGTGAGAGGACCTGAGCTCCAGTCACCACTCTGCTATTTGCTAGCTCTATGACCTTGGATTGGGTACTTCCATATCCAGGACTCAGTTTTCTCACCTGCAAGATGAGCAGATTGAATTCTCTGATCCTGACATGTCCTGTCAGGTTCTTGTCATCCTGCATGTGGTCAATCAATTGAGACTCTTAGAGCCTCAATTTCTACATTTATATAATAGGAACAAATAATACTTGCCCAATACCTTTAGATTTGAATCAAGTATTATGGTAAAGTGATTTATAAACTAAGAAGTACTGTATAAGTATTAAGGGCAGCTAGGTGGCATAGTGGAAAGAGTGCCAGGCTTGGAGTCAAGAAGACCCAAGTTCAAATCTGGCCTCAGCCATTTAATAGCTGTGTGACTCTGGGCAAGTCACTTAACCCTATTTGCCTCAGTTTCTTCTTATGTAAAATAAGCTGGAGAAAGAAATGGCAAACCACTTTCTTTTACCAAGAAAGCCCCAAATGGGGTCACAAAGAGTTGGACATGACTAAAATGACTAAACAAACAACAAATATTACCTACAATTGTTATTATATGAATACAACTAACGAATACCTGTGGCTGTAGACAGTTATGCACAAAGGATCTGTAATTTTGTCAGCATTGGTAAACTCTAGTTATAGGGACTCCTTTCAACACTAGTAAGTCCTATGACATTGCCTGAGGCACAGTGAGGTCCAGTGACTCACCACGGATCACACATACAGCTAATGTCAGAGGCAGCATTTAAATTGAGTTCTCCTTGACTTTAAGCCCAGCAATGTATAGTCAAGCCCACATACTGTCAGGGGGAAAAAAGGGTAGTTCTTTTAGTGGTACAAATGAACCAGTGAGAACTTTCACACAGATGTCCATTTTAATACAATAGTCTGGCATTTAATATATCCACACAATCCTGGGATGTCCACATTTATGCACATACTTTTGTTTATGTGCTTATGTTGCATATTTGTATATTATCTTATTTGCATATGTTGTCATATTGGTTATGACAACATATGCAAATAAACCCCATAACAATTTGAAAATGTTGCAAACCAAATATGCAATCTGTCAAGCATAATCAGCCATGCTGCTCAACAACTGGACGATATAATTCACTCCAAAATATGTATGTGAGTTAGTTTCTATCATCTTAAGTTTCAGCACAGATTTCTAGAAATTCATGCCAACAGTAGTGCATGTTCAAAAAACAATTTTGTAGATCTGACTGATGCTTAAGTGCAAGAAAAAATTTCATCACTTGGCACAGACCAAGATCCAATTTTCCTCCTGTTTATTAAATAGAACTGTGATTCACAGCAACAAGAGATCATAGTCCCCTGATCAAGACCCTGCCCAGATCTTAAGCTAAAATGGGAGGAAACATATCAGAAAATAAACTTATTTTGCATTAAATTTAATATCATTTATGTTGCATTCCATGGACACTGTAAAAGGCATAAACCATTCTCTTTTATTTGTAAAATATATGTGTGCAGGGGAATAGAGGAGAGGTTGGCACTCAGAGTCAAAAACTAAAGCACCAAGTATTAAAGAAAACCCAGCTTCCTATATGAACATTTGAGAGCATTCAAAGCCATCTGGCCAGAGAAAGCATTACCTTGGTCTGATTTTTCATAAGCGGAATTAGGTTTCTTGTCAGGCGACACCATCTCTTTTGGCTCTGTGGGTAAAGAAGGGGAGAAATTAATAATAATAAAAAAAATCCTTTTTCTTTACACTTTAAATGCTTTTTAAAGAAGATTCATTAATCCAAAAGGTCAGAGCAAAAAACCATTGACCAAAAAAAAACCAAAATCCAGATTCATTCAGCAGCTGCTCGGGAATCACTTGAGGTTAAATGTCAGCTCACTTCCCAGAAGGCTCCTGCTCCCCTGCAGCTGAGAGAGAAGCCATTGCAGCACGGGATCAACCTTGTTGTCTTGGATTCATTCCTTTCTCAAATGGGAGTCAAAAACTGGCAACTTAGCAAGTACTGGCTGCCAGGATTTCCAAAGAGAAGAATTAAGCCTTGTTGGGACTGAACATTTACTTGGATTAGAACAGGCTAAACTGCAGCTAAATTTGCAGTTATCCAAACACACTTACCCCCCAATGAGCATGTATATTAAAATATTCATCCAAGTTTGGGGGGGGTTGCTATTTTATCTGTCAAAAACAAAACAAAAAAAGGCTGAATAGGATACTGTGAGACCACTGCAAATAAATAATTTCAGAAGTTTACTCTCCTTGGGAGATGCCATTTTGGACACTTTTGCCTGCTTTCAAGAAAGAGGAACAGTTTTAAGGAAGTCAAAATTATGAAAATGTATCTGAGAGTAGATGGGCTGATTCTCTTCTTCAACAAATCACAGTCCTAAGAAAAAGTCCACAGCAGCTTTTAATATGTATTTCTTTATATAAAGGTCCCAATGATAATACCGATCAAGCTGTCAATCAACAAGAATTTATTAAGCACTTTCTTTGTGTCAAGCACTGTGCTAAATACTGGGCATATGAAAACAAAACAAAACAAAACCAATCCCTGCCCTCAAGGAGCTTACATTCTGAAAGGGAAGAGAACATATACATTAATAGATTAATAAGATACTTGCACAGAAAATGAAAGATAACTTTAGAGCAGTGATTCTCAAATTTTTTTGGTCTCATGACCCTTTACTCTCTGAAAAAATTATTGAAGACCCCAAAGAACTCTTGTTTATATGGGTTATGCTTTCAATATTTACTATATTCAAAATAATTTTTAAAATAAATGCCATTTATTTTAAAATATAAATAACAGATTCATTACATGTTAACATAACATATTTTAATGAAAAATAATTCTATTTTGAAAAAAAATTAGTGAGAAGTGTTATTGTTTTACATATTCTTGCAAATCCCTTTAATGTCTGGTTTAATAGAAGACATGTTTTGGTTGAAGTATATTAAGAAAATCCTGCCTCACACAGATGTAGAGTTGGAAAAGGGAAGAGTATTTTAATAGGGAAATAATGACTTATCATTATTAAGAAAGTGGACCTCCTCAAAAGTACCACACTTTGAGAACCACTGCCTTATAATAAAGATACAAGCAACTGAGTTCTAAAGGAAGTCGAGGATTCAAAGAGGCAGGAGTGAAGGAGAAGAAGAGAGAGTTGGAGAACTGAGAGAACACTACCATCTTTTAGAAAATGCCCTAAGTTTCTTGTGACCAGGGACTCCAGGTGTCAAATTGATCTTACACCAGACTTCAAAGAGAACAGTGAATAAAGCAACATCTGCTGAGTGCCCAGAATCGGCACAGCTATGGGCTAAGTGTATGCCAGCCCTTAAGGCAGAGCAAGGTGATGACAGACTCTGACTGGAGGTCTCAGACTTGCCCAGTGGCATGGCATTAGTACCAAGAGAAGATGCTGAGAGGTTCAGTTCTAGTTCTAGTTCTATTTTGACTCAAGTAACTCGAAGCAAATAAATTGGCCTATGATTTGGTTTACCCATTTGTAAAATAGGGATAGTAACAACTGCCCAACCTATTTCACAAGACTGTTGTGAAGACCTATTATCTAAAAAAGATATATTTTATCTTTGCATCACAATATTATGTTATAATAATAATATATTATATGTAGTATAATACTGCTAAATTAAGAGGATTTCTTAAGGGCTAGTCCTTTCTAGAGCATCTTACTGTCTTCTTCTTCAATCAGCAATCTGATTGGCTGAGGTAAGAGAGTGTGAGTAATGAAAAGAGCATTATACTCAGGAGTTGTAAGAGCCAAGTTTTAACTCTGGCCCTGTCCTAAAAGCTGAAATGAAAGCGGGATTAGATGATATCTGAGATCCCTTTCAAATCTGATATTCTCAGGTTATGAATGGGATGTAAGGAAGATGCCTTTGCACACAAAAGAACATCTGAAAGGGTACAGACCAGTCAGATATTTTGAAGCCTTACCTGATATTTTCTCAGGATTGCTGTTGGCGACCATGCTACACCTCACAAGATTGCTAAAGGATTGCCCATTAGGTGCCGGCACCCCCTCTGTACTCAATCCAGGATTTAACAGTTCACATTCACATAATATTTTAAAGTGCCAAAGTGCTTTCCTCAGAACCTTGTAAAGTAGTGTAAAATATCCCTGTGGAAACTCAGGCCAAAGAAGTTAAGGGACGTGCCCAATGTCACAGACATAGAAAGCGTGACCTTAGACCTGTCACTTTAACTTCTCTGGGCCCTAGAAGGCACAGGCTTAGAAGGACCTTTTTTCACTATAAAAAGAAGCAAACATCAAAAACCAAAAGCTAACGTAATGAGCGATGGGAAAACACTAAAAGTTTTCCCAATAAATACAAGAGTTAAGCAAGCATATACCCTTTCCCAATTGTTATTTGACATGGTTTCTAGAAATGCTAGTAATAGCAATACAATAAGGAAAAGAAATTAAAAGCAAAGATATATGCTGAGAGATTTCTTTTTTTTGATCCAGGGGTTGCCAATAACACCTTTGTAGATAGAGCAAGAAAATATTTTAAAATGCTGCCTATTAGCATACTTAATTAACATAATTGATAAAGATACAGTGCTTTAAAATTTGCAAATATTTAACATATATTTCTTCATTTGAGCCCCATGGCAAGGAAGCAAAATAGATCATTCAAAGCTGTTGTTGTTTACCTGTAATTTCATCAGTCTAAGGAATTGATGAGGAAACACTCTCTATTGATACATAGTCATCTGCTCTGTAAGTTAAAATTTTACAAATATATCATTGGCCTTACTTTTCAGAAGAAAAGCTGTGGAATCTCAGGCCAAAGAGGTTAAGTGACTTGCCCATTGTCACAGAGTTATAGAAAACATGACCTTAGACCTGTCACTTTAACTTCTCTGGGCCATACAAGACATAGGCACAGAAGGATCTTTTTAAATATAACAGTAATGTGTGTAAATCAAAAAGTTAGTATTATATGCAACAAGAAACTCTAGAGGTTTTCCAAATGCAGGACAATGTGATCACAAGTGGGCCTTGAACATGTTCCTTCCTTACTCCAAGTCCAGCATTCTATTCATTATGTCACACAACCTCCTAATTAATTAACTATTGGTGCATCTAAAACTGAGTTCCCTCCTCCATGAGTCTGAGCAATCACAGGCATTGATTTCCCAAACTAGGATACCAAAGCTGATTATATGCAAAGTCAAACCAGTTAAGCATATTACAAGAAAATGGAACTTAGTTTCTTCAAGAGAATTCTGACCAGCCCTTTGAAATAATGTCACAAATTATTTACCCAAGTGATTAAATTACCATAACTTGACTGGATTCAACTTATGACGAGAGCTTCCAAAGGTTGGAAAAGGAAACAAAGCTGAGTGTATTTGAGTATCTAACTTGGGGTAGTCCTTACTTTTCTAGGTGATAGTAGACAGCAGGACAGAGTTCTAATTCAAGATGCATGCACATAACTAGGCTACACTACCCACCAAAATGTGGCCTTATTAAATTCAAATCAATTCAACAAGCATTTAGTCAGTGCCTACTATATGCAAGGCAATATGCTAGATGTTGGAATAACAAATATTTTCTCACCTTGAGGAAGAACTCTCCATAGGAAGCGTTCTACCTCCCACCCCACCTCCTCTGTAGAAGGGCTTCTCCATGCGGGGAATATATGACCTCATTTCTCTCAACAGAGAACCTCTATATTCCTTCAAAGCACAGCCCAGGTGCCACTTTCTACAAGAAGACTTTCTGGATCCCCTCTCAATAATTCTCATATTCTATTTCCATTTCTCTCTCTTTCTCTCTCAGCCCTCCCTTCCCCTCCCCCAAACCTACTACATTATTTGTCACTTTTGACCACCTTCACCTCCCTTTTCCTCAAATTCTTCTCCTCCTTCTTTTCCTTGGCATCACACCATTCTGGCCTTCCTCCTGCATCTCTGACATTTCCTTGTCTACCTCCTTTGTTGATTTTATTTCCTCCTCCTTGAAAACTCTGGACAATCCCAAAGGCCCTATCTTTAGCCCTCTTCTCAAATACTCAGAAGTTATCTTTTCTTCCTCAGAATTTTTATAATACTTTGTATTTCTATTACCTATGTATACTATACTATATATATAGATATACTATATATAGATATATATAGATATATATAGATATACTATATATATATAAAGATACTATATATACATATAGATATACTATATATAGATACACTAGATATATACTACTGTATCTATCTATAGCATGTATAACATGCTATATGGTATATTTCTTTTTTGGGGGGAGGGGGATAAGACTTGTTATTTTATTGGCTTGGAGAAATCCCAGTGAGTAAACTCCCTCTACTAATGTAGGCAAGAACCTTGTAGGCAAATAAATAATCTTAGGAAATTATTAAATTACTTTTATAGTTATTATACAGTATGGAATATTATGCAGTTCTCTGTCAGATTTGACATTTTGGACAATAAGTTCGAGGAAGGCCAAGATTATATCTGAACTCTATTTGTATCTTCCATAAACTATCCTTTACATATAGTACATGCTCATTAATTGTCCACTGTTGAATGAATGTCACTTCTTCCACCAAAAACTTATGATAACTCCTTGTTGTCCACCAGGAGACAGCCTTATGAAGAGACAGAGTAGGCAATAATTTTGAAATTATAATTTGAGGAG